ATCACTTGTATGCAGCCTGCAGGTCTGCCATTCTCCATTGGGGGGGGGTTTGGGGGGTAGAGTTGCATGTTGAGGAACCTGGCCTTGGGGCAGCAGAGAGAGTAAATCCGGCCTTGAGCGGAGGGCAAAGACTTTTTAAGACAGGTTCCCCCATTTTAACTACTGATGGACAAATATGCCCAGGTTTGATTCGCCAATGGTTCGGGGAAATTTGCCCCATTGAAGTTTATGATAGGGGGGAGGGGGGATCTTGTTAAATTGTGGCCTTTTTACTACTACTTACAAAGAAGCCATTTCAACATACAATAAAAATGTTAAAAAATAGCACCCCTGCAATAAACAAAATAGCTTTATTTTTTTTTAAATAAGGCCGCACCAACTTAAAATTAAAACCGTACCCCCAAAATGAACGAAAACCCCAAAACATTGAATCCTGAAACAAAAGCCTTTTGTTTACGAGCATGAACACATAACCCTTGCCGTACACGGGCAGACCCAGTACAAGGGTTAAGATGTGACTTGTTTACCCTTAAGTAAAGATCCTATCAATATAAAACATAAAGCAATATACTCCCCCCTCCCCCCCCCCCCCAAAAAAAATGAAAAAGGGGGGAATGCTCCACTTTGGTGAATCTAATAAAATACACTATTTCCTTTATGCACTATATTGTGTACCACATCAACTCCTCTGATGATTGTGTAAATACATTATTTTAAACCATTATTGTATTTCCTTCCATCATACTTATATCCTTTCAGTCCAAACTTTAAAAAGGCCCTATCAACATAAAATATCAATTCAAAAAAGAACAAAGAAAACTTCCAGTAAAAAAACAGTTAACCCTTTCAAAGGGTTAATACTTACCTGTGTCTCCGCTGTGTGCTCCCGTCCGAACATCTGAAGAGTCTCGGGCGGCCGCAAAGGATCTTGGGGCGGGCGCATGCGCAGTTCAGATGTTCGGCTGCGAGACGAGGAGAGACACAAGGTAAGTCTAAGGAGCAACGAGCACCCATACAGACACCGTGGGTCAGAGGAGAGGAGTCATCTTAGGGCTTATTCACACCAAATGCAGACCAGATCTGTATGAGTTTCTACACACGCAGTGCAGTGGGTTGAGTGCAGTGGGTTGTGCCGCGTTTTTTAAGCGTTTTTTGCCGCGTTTTTGATGCGTTACGGGCCGTTTTTGGTAAATGGGCTTTTAGTGCGTTCCAGGGCGTTTACATGCGTTTTTTATGCATTTGCATGCGTTCCAGAGCAGGTAAAATAGGGCTTGATGCAGTTTATTTACATGCTCTGGAACTGAACGCTGCGGTGTGAACTAGAGCCCAAAATGACATTGAAATACATTGGATGTAGTTTTGATCCGGTCTGTAACTGCTCTGCTCTGCTCCTGGAACGCGCTTGGTGTGAACAAGGCCTTAATGTCACTTTAATGAAAAGCCCACACATGAACCACAAACTTGCTTCTTTTTTTTTTTTAAAGGAAGCCTTGCTGCAAAAATAGCAGTTTAACCTAAAAGAAAGGCCTTATCAATATAAAATGATAAATAAATACACTGAGTGGCCAGATTATTATGACCACCTGACGTTTGTAGGCAAATTAGCTATAATTAGCAATAATTTTGCGCTGAAGTTGCTAGAGGGCCAGACCATTATAAATAGGGAAGCAGGTTGTTTACCACGACAGTAGAAGTGATTTGTTTCTGAAGATACGGGGAAACAACGCGATTTAACAGCCTTTGAACGTGGGATGATTGTTGGCGCTCGGAGCCATGGAGCGAGTATCAGCAAAACAGCAGAATTCGTTAAATGTTCAAGAGCAGCTGTTGTTAAAGTGTTTAAAGACTGGACTGTCAGCCGAAAATCTGGGTCTGAACGTGCGAATTGTGGCCGTCAGCGACTAGTCAATGTTAGGGCAGAACGGAGAGTGGCAAGACTGGTACAAGACAACAGAAGGGCAACAGTGCAGTGTCAGATTCCTCACATCACCTTTCAACATCTCGTGGAGTCACGAGGCGGCCCAACGAAGTACTATTAACAACAATGTCTCTTATTTGTGTATCACTCGGCTGTAGATCCTCAAATCATCTCTGAATTGGTGGTGACACTGTCCTTCCTTCTGGAGGGGGGCTACTTTTGTTCCCCATGGTCCCTGTGTGTTGTAAAGTAGTCACTGCTCCAAGCTCGCTTCTGTGATGGACTATAATCTCAATGCAAATTAGTAAACTAAACATGAGATTGTAACAACATGATTCGATATACAATATACTTTCAAAATAAATTAAAACAAGTGAATACTCCCCTTTGAGCACCCCTAATTAAAAAAGGCCAGAGTAATATAAAATAGAAATTAAAAAATCCACCCATCCTCCAGCAAAAACAAACAATTAAACCTAAAATAAAAGCCCAATAAATATTTTTAAAAAACTACCTCCTGAAAAGTTTTTTTTCTCTGAAAGGAAAGGCTTACAGCCAGAAAAAAAAACATCTAAACGCGAAATAAAGGCCCGATAAATATAAAAAAATAATCATAATAGACCCCAAAATAAATATTAAAAAACTACCTTTTGAAATTAAAGTTTTTGTTTTTTTTTAAAAAAAAAAACAGCAAAAAAACCCGGTAAAATAAAGGCCCTATCAATCTAAAATAAAACCAATGAAATGAAAGCTTTTTTTTACAGGAAAGGCTTGCAGCAAAATAAAAAACAAGTTTGCTAGGGACGGGACTACTGACCTTAAGCAAAAAAAAACTCTCATTGTTACAATGTTGCAGTCTGATCACTGGGGGAGAGAGGAGACTGAGGAAATGCTTCCTCCTGCCTGCAGCAGACTAATGACATCATCTCAGCCTAGGTAAAGACAGTAAATTTGGACCTAACAGTGGCTTTTTAATAAAAAAAAGCGATTGGAAAGGCCCTATGAAGAGAACCTGTTACTTTTCCCTTAATGGTCAAAGTGACCTATTCTCTTTAATAGGAAGCCTGTACAAGGAGCAATATAGGGGCTTTTCTAAAAATGATACTGTTGCTGTATATCGTGACCTGTCAGGAAAGATCCACTATAATAATCTGAAATGAACAATTACCTATATGATAGCTTTTGGTTTAGGGCAGTAGGATACGTAAAACAGGTAACAGTGTTAGAATCTGGGTCTTGGTTGCTTCAGCCAAAGTGTGATTTTGTAAAGCCATAACCCCACCCCCTTCCTACCCTGTATGTAAGGAACAGGTTACAAGAGCAAGTCACATGACCCCTACAATCATCTTCACTTCCCAGAAATGCAGGAATATGATCATTATTAAAAATCATTAAAGCATCTCCACCCAAAACATGGTTTTCCTTTTAGGACAGTGGGGAAAGGGAGAGATGATAACATGTAAGTAGGTGATTGAGTTCATTGGGATCCGTCTATAACTGACACGCATGTTTTAAGTAAACGTCTTCCAAAGTAAAAAAAGAACAAACATAATAAAAGTGGTACAAAGTGCAAATGCTCCCAAATTCTTAGCGGACATGATTCTGAGAGGGATTGCTTCTGTATACTGGGTGACATAGTCAAGGACTACCAACATGTGCTAACAGGTGACACCCGATGACATAGTCAAGGACCACCAATATGTGCTACCAGATAACACCAGGTGACATAGTCTAGGACCACCAATTTGTGCTACCAGGTAACACCAGGTGACATAGTCAAGACCACCGATATGTGCTACCAGGTGACATAGTCACTGACTACCAATATGTGCTACCAGGTAACACCAGGTGTCATAGTCAAGCACCACCAATATGTGCCACCAGGTAACACCAGGTGTCATAGTCAAGCACCACCAATATGTGCCACCAGGTAACACCAGGTGTCATAGTCAAGCACCACCAATATGTGGTACCAGGTAATACTGGGTGCAATAGTCAAGGACGACCAATATGTGCTCACTTGGCTGACTTTGGCAGTGGCTCGATCAGATCCATAGAAACCCTCTCAGGACCTCAATTATAGGCAAGGGTCTTCCCCTCAGTCCTGATAACCAGCATAATCAAACCATTAAACCATTTTATAATGTATCATAACACCAGAGGTCTCAGTTGACATTATGAATTGATTAAGCGCTCGCCATTTTTTCCAATGATCATTTGACAATCAATGCAGCGTTTACATATCTTCATTTTGAGTTACACAGAATCTAACACAGACTGTTGCATCAATTCCTGTTGACGTACGGTCTGATGAACAACTCTGCCATCGCCAATGCTTAAGACGGTGCCCAGGGCCGAGCCTTCATGATGTAGCTCTGCGGTCCTGTCCCACTGAGAAACGAAGGCGCTTCTCACCATCTGTGTGACAGGACCATAAATCTTCCCAGCCCCGCCACTGTTCTAAGACACAGCAATTGGCGTCTTTTCCAGTGTGCAATCTGCCTATCTGAAGTCACCTTTATCAAACTAAAGATCTCATGTATGCGGTATGTATGGCTATGTGCGGCGGTAACGCATGGAAAAACGCGTATTTTACTGTGCATTACCGCAACACATGGTAACACATTGCAATTCATTCAGAAAGCAGCCAAACGTACAATACAATAGCTTTGCATGGTGCTGCATTTAAAGGGTACTTTCATGTCCGTTGAGATGCATTGGCAGACCATTCTAAATGAGCGCAGGCATAATACGCATGTGCAGTAAAGCACTGCAACAGACCGGACAGGTCCCAAAGTATAGTTTGTCTTTCCCTCCAGCAACCAGTAAACATCTCCCTTACATGTACTAACCCGCCTTAGTAACAGGAAAGGCAGAGGTTGATTGGTTGGTAGATGAGAAATACAAAAAAATCCATGTTACCGTGATTGCAACAAATGTTAAATAATTAATTCAATTTAAAAAACACACAATAAATATGACGTCCATCAAAAATCAGCCTGAAAACAATACGCCAAACCAGACAGACCCCAGGAGTCTGTAACATGCCTCATCTTTGCGCATGATTGCGATGAATACAGTTTATTTCATTTTTTGGGGGGGAGGGGGGAAGGTCTCAGGTTGGAATGATGAAGAAGTCTTTTAACCTGTCCCAGGCAATGGCTTCAAAGCGTGAGGTATGGGGAGCGCCTTGATGCTGTGTGGAAAGTGGGCAGGGGACAGACACCGCAGGACCTTTTGCATAGCTGTCAGATACAAGGTGGCAGGCGTGTTGCCCACCAGGTAATTGAATTTGTCTTCCCCCAGCAGCGGAGTCCAGAATTCTGGGTTCTCCTTCAAGATCTTCCTCATTTTGAATTTCAGGGACGGGGAGAAGAGCAGCAAATAATTCAGGCACAGTTTTTTCGAGTCCACGTTGACCTTGGAGCTCCACAGCTGCTCCAGTATGATATCCAGAGGTGTCTCCCCTTTGCGGTCCAGGATCTTCGGAGATGCCCCGTTGCCCAGCAGGATCAAGACCGTTTCGGCGCTGAGCAGCTCGCAGGCCAGGTGCAGCGGGGTCTTCCCGTCCGAAAGATGGAAGCAGCTGCCTCTGTTGATGTAGGAATGCAGGCTCGGCAGCTTGTGGGAGATCTTGATGATCATGATTAGAATGTCTCTCCTGTCGTAGGTGACGGCCAGGGCCAGGTGTGGTGCCGACGGAGGACAGCAGCAGAATTTGATACCTGGTACTTTGAGAGCTTCCTCCGGGAAGTGAGACAGCAGATATTGGGCATAGCGCAGATGATTATGCACCACGGCGTACATGAGAGCGTCGGAGGGGGAATAGCATCTCAAGCTGGCGTCTTCTTCCCAGTGAAAATACGCCATGGTCCGCATCTCCTCCAGCTTCCAGACGGGTTCCTGGTCCCGCACGGCCTGGTAGAACATATAGGAATAGAATTTACACTGCTCATCCTGAAAGCTGACTTGGTTGCTGCACATAGCTGCTCGCCTGATGGGTCCACGACAAAGACAGATATCCTTTGCGGGGAACCACGAAGCAGAATTTTAGTCCATCATACGGTGGTTGTACGGAGAAGGAGGCTGAGGCGGCATGGAACACCCTTGATGCAGGTTCATGTTGCAGCACAAGCCTCCTGCTGCCTTTAACGCTTGCAATTCCGGCTACAATGGTCTACAGAGCGGAATGAGACCCCGGCATGCAGGTTCTTTGGAGCAGAAGCATCTGATGCCCCCCTCCCTCCTCAACCTCTGACAGGAGGAAAGTCCTCACTCCCTCCCTCCTTCTCCTGCAGCTTGGGGCTCGATGCTCTTATTATGAATCCTCCACAGCTGCCTGCTGCAGTGCTCCAAGCTGGTTCTCTTTAGCATGTGTTGGTTGTATGAGGGAGCTGGGTGGAACACGCAGCCAGCATTGGGTATGATGGCATCGCCCCTCATTGTGAATACATACCTCCCCCTTCATAGAGTGCACATGCAGCATTTTTTTTGCAAGCTGGGAAGAGAAAGGGGCTTTACAAGGATCCTGGCTGGGTGGGTTGCAAGTGCATGCAACGAGGGGAATCCCAGCCAGTTGGCAAGAAACACTCAATCTACATAGCATACATGTCACAATCTGATTGGACAATCAACTCTAAGCTGACCATACAATATAAAAGTGTACAATCTCCTTTAAATCTACCGTAAACTATGAAGTGCAATGGCCTTCCTGATTTGATTCTAGTTGAATAGATGGGTTTGATTTGGCTTCAAATTGTTTTGGTCAATCTAAAGCGCAGGACCCATGTTACAATTTGATTGGGCAACCTTCTTTAGATCTACCAAATATACTGTATATATATATATAGTGCAAGGGCCTGCCTGGTCGGAGACAAATTGTGGAAATAGTTTAGGTATAGTAGGGGCTGGGTGGTGGTAGGGAGGGGCTGGGTGGTGGTAGGGAGGGTCTGGGTTGTGATGGTGGTGGGAAGGGACCGAGTGGTGATGGTGGTGGGGAGGGGCCGGGTGGTGATGGTGGTAAGGAGGGGCCGGGTGGTGATGGTGGTAAGGAGGGGCCGGGTGGTGATGGTGGTAAGGAGGGGCCGGGTGGTGATGGTGGTAAGGAGGGGCCGGGTGGTGATGGTGGTAAGGAGGGGCCGGGTGGTGATGGTGGTAAGGAGGGGCCGGGTGGTGATGGTGGTAAGGAGGGGCCGGGTGGTGATGGTGGTAGGGAGGGTCTGGGTTGTGATGGTGGTGGGAAGGGACCGAGTGGTGATGGTGGTGGGGAGGGGCCGGATCGTGGTGGAGAGGGGTCGGATGGTGATGGTGGGAAGGGGCTGTGTGGTGGTGATGGGGAGGGGCTGGGTGTTGGGGGGGCTGTAAGCTGCCAAGATTCTGCTGCAATGAAAAGAAATGAGACAGAAGCTGTGATTTCATCGCCTCTGTTGTGAAATTTGGAGATAAATTGCTCCACAAAGTCTATAGCTGCAGAGGTCGCTTGTTTTAACGCATTTTTACTCCTTGTTCAGAATACGATAATACTTTAATGTGCATAGGGTACAACTGAAAGTGATGAACTGCAGCGCAGTTGCTGTGTGCTAACAATGAACATGTGAATAGGGAGAGAGATCAGAGAGACAGACAGATGAGCTATTCAGTCTGCTTCTTCTTCTTCACTGTCCAGTCACAGGCTGGGGGGGAGGAACAAGACCTGTTAAGTGTCACTGAATTGCAGCATGGAAGAATTAGGTCTCCTTTCCTACCAAACAGGAATATGCTGCATGGCAGGGCTGTGGCAATCTCAGGATTGCATGGACAGAAATACAAATCCTTTGGCACGTTAAATAGCTCATATACTGTTAAGACTGGGATGCCATTAAAGTTCATGTGTGTGTAAAGGCCGGCGTCCCAATACTTTTGGCAATATAGTGTGTGTGTATATATATTTCTGTCTTGATAACAGTTCAGCTGTAATTTAGCAGCTGTTGTTTAGTTTATCTTTAGCTTTCGCTGTGTTGCATGCTAACACAAAGCAGTGATTATTTCCCAAACCCAGAGCAGAGATGATCTGCAGTATTGAACAGCCGACTCTGCGTAGATCTCAGCCTCAGCACCGACATTACATTTCAGATTGTACTGTGAATTATTAATGGGGTAATTTGCAGGCTCTTATGCCCCCGGGGACTGATGTACGCGTATTTATCATTTTGCCCTTATTTCAGCCACTCTGTTAGGCTGAACTATGTTAAAGGGCCAGCCAGCTTGAAATATATGTTTTATTATCATACATGGATTGTGGACCCCTACATAGCCCATCGGTTTATTATATCTCAGAGGGACTCTGAACCTCAGTTCACTACACTGACCACCTTCCACTGCCATTAAAACCTTTTTCACACCTATAGTTTGGGTGTGTTTAGGGATTCCTGTGGCAGCAACTTGCGATATCCTGCAGCAGGAATCCCTAAACACACCTATAGTCTAGGTGTGAATGCAGCCGAAGGGAGAGTCTTGTATGTTACAACTGCTCCTTTTTTTGGCAGTCCCTCTTGTTCTCTCCAACGTCCTCCACCATTGCCCTTCTGGTGTGAATGTGGAGACCTGTACCAATAAATGTACTACTTAACTATTCAATTATTATTAACTATTGAGCCACTAAATAATCAGATTGCTATTTTAAAGCAATGGGTATTGGCCCTGAAAATTCCATGCTGGTGAATGTGGTTATTTTGAGGGCTTCTGGGATGGTTAGTATTTGTTTTAAAGGGAGAGTAAAGATGGCCAAACGCTGTAATATTTTCTTTGTTCAACCGATGGGCTGAAGAAAGAAAATTTTACAGATTCCTCCAACAACGCTTACGGGCGTTGATAGTGGAATCTCCCGCTGTCAGAATACCCAAACAGAGCCGGCAGCTCATTGGCTGCTGGCTCTGTTCGTTCCATGATTTTCCCAACCTGCTCCTTCGATCAGCTGATTGCCACCTGAAGGGTCCAAAAAGAGGCTCCCACTGCAAATTTCACCCAGTTCATCAACAACCGCCCGAAATTTGTATAGTGTATGGCCAGCTTTAGTATTAGGGTTACATGGTCTAAGGGTTAGTGTAAGGGTTACAAGGAAGACTAGTATGAGGGTTTATTGAGGGATAATGTGACATTTGTAAGGAGAGTTATCATTAGGGTTACAGAGAGTGTTAGGGTTACAGGGAAGGTTAGTGTTATGCTTAGTGTGAGAATTAGTGTGAGAGTTACAGGGAGGGTTAGTGTTAGGGTTATATGGATGGTTAGTGTGAGGCACTGGCGGAACTACCAGGGTCGCAGCGGTCTTAATCGCGACCGGGCCCTGGCGTTCCGCCACTTGGGGAGGCCCAGCGAGGAAGAAGAGGGCCCCCCGAGAGAGTGTCGTTCCTTCCCTGCCGCACAGCCGCCCGCAGCATGTATGGGCAGCTGTGCGGCAGGGATGGGAGAAGCTGCCAACATTCTGCTGTGTGAGGACCCGACCCTCTTAGTCCCGCCCCCTGACCAGGGAGATGAGGAAGAGGGCCCTGCTGGAGAAGGAAGGTAAGTCTGGAGTGGGAAGGGGAGGCGGCGTGGGAAAGTGTGTGTAGTGGGGGGTAGTGGGATTCTGTAGTGCTGACTTCTATTATAATGTATTGCTGGGACTTGTAGTCCCGCATAGCTGCTGGTATTCTACATTGCTGTATGATGATCATACAGCAATGCAGAATAGCTCCAACTATGTAGGACTACAAGTCCCAGCAATGCATTACAGTGGGGGGTGCTGGTGTATTGGTATTCTGCATACCTGACTTTTATTATAATGTATTGCTGGGACTTGTAGTCCCGCATAGCTGCTGGTATTCTACATTGCTGTATGATGATTATACAACAATGCAGAATAGCTCCAACTATGTAGGACTACAAGTCCAGCAATGCATTATATTTTTAAGTAGGGATACACCACTGCCAATACTGGGCGTTTTCACGAGTACTTATACTAAACGCAGATACCGGTGTTCTGTCGAGAACGACGACTAAGTCGAATTTGCCGACCTCAGCATCTGCGCTTGCACACAGACCAATATTATCAAGGAAACCGGGATTTATTTACAAAGTATTTCGTTTAAATCGTTAATTGTGACCGTTAAAAATATTCCATCCTTCATTTACTGCCATACATCATTCATTGCCATGGATGGCATATTATTAACGGTCACAATTAACCATTACAAACGAATAATTTGTAAATAAATGCCGGTTTCCTCTGTAATCCGGTCTGTACGCCAGCGCAGATACTGGGTCAGCATTCTCGACAGAACACTGCACTAAAATTGGCTCCACCCAGTTGTAATGACAAATCAGCATCCCCAAATGACCTGGGGACGCTGATCTGTCATTAAACAATAACAACTGGGCGGAGCGGCTCTGCCCAGTTGTTATTCGGTGGCCGAGCCGAATGGCGCTCGGTGGCATTCAGCTATTCACTCACTGTTGTTCGGCCTTTGTGAGAATGGAGGCGAACGGCAGCGAATGAGCTTCAGCTCAGCCAATCCAGATGTTGGATCGGCTGAGTCGAAGTCCTTCTGCACTTCGGCTCAGTCGAACACGCAGAGCATGTTCGGTTGACCGAAGTGCAGCCGAAGGCAGCCAATGTACAGCTGATTTCAGCCGATGTACTTCACTTCGGCTGGGTTATTCACTCGGCTGCCTTAGTATTTTATCTTGCCTCTGACAGGACTGCAGCCTCTTGCTAACACTTTTCCTGGCCATATCCATGGCAGCGCTGACCATTGGGTGTTAGCTCCAATTACCCCTAGATGACAGGAACCAAAAGGGTTAAACATGACCTAACCCTCTCCATAAAAGCCCCTCCTCCAGCCGGCTTCCCCAGTCTTTTTTGTTCCTGTCCCCCCTAGGACAGGGTTATACTCGTTTACTAAGGAATATGAAGTCATGGAGTTCTGGATGGCCTCAGGGGAGTTCAGCCTCTCTCCCCTGGGAGGTTCCCAAGACTCGGCCCCGAGCAAGGGTGTCCCCTTGGGAAGAAACAGCTTTCATTTCGGTCTGAGGTATCCTCCTCATGAAAGCCATGTTTATATTAAGCCTGCAAACATTTTCAATATGCGGTGTGTTGCGGGGGCAAGGTAAGCCTGTGGGGGATAATCTTACCTATGTTCTGTGGCCCGACTCGTTGAGGCGGCTCCTCGCAGCGCTCTGCCCGTTCTGCCCGTTCGGCTGTTTGCGGTGTAAGGGCAGAGCAGGATGGGCACTGGCGGCTTCCGAGCGCTTCTGCGCATGCGCGAAAGTCCGGTCTTTGTGGTGACGTCATCGGCGGACGATTTTCTGCACCAAATTTGAATTGTTAACAGTGTAAGTCACAGAACTAGCTCAGGAGGTGTTTTCTGGTAGGCATATGCTTCTTGGAGAACCTGGAGAGCCATCAAGTGACAGAATCATGGATAACTGCCCCTCACCACACGGATCTGTGGAGTTGAGGTAAG